TCTAGGCCCGAAACGTCAGCCTTCCTGCTCCTCTGATGCTGCTTGGCCTGCTGTGTTCATCCAGCTCTACACCCTGTTATCTCAATAAATTGAAGTACTTGGGTTCTCACATTTGTATTTTGAGACAAATGGTTGCCAAGCACTGTAAGGAAAACCCATGAAGATAATGATGCTTGGGGAATGCAAGGAATTTGGGTAGCTTTGCTGATGTTCAAGGCCTCAAATGTGGAAAGTCTACGAAAGGAAGAGACACAAAGAGGGTGGACGCAGTTGGAAAGCAAATGTCATGGCCAAAAGACTAGTTGAACACAAGAGGCTGAGAAACAACCACTCCAGGTTAATTGACTATACAGCTATGAGCTATTAAATAGTTAGCAGAGAACAAACTATGATCTATCTAGCTGGATTTCAGCCTGGAATCTGAGTGATCTAGTAATAATATCAGCTGAGATTATAACATTTAATTAAAGCATGTCAACCTGTAAATTTTTATTATAAATAAAATATATTTAAGAATACTTCAACATTTTGAGTTGCTTATTGTAATGTTTATAACGAGGTCAGCCAGGTGGCCCTCAGAATATGAGTTCCCTGCTTGGGACTGTTAACCTGGTCCAATCAGGGAGCCCTGGCTGATAGGTAAGAACAGAAGTGTCAGACATGTAAATAAATGATGACTTCCTGACAGGATACCAGCCTCTGTGGAGTTATTTCATTTTATAAAAAGTAGTAGATCCGTGCATGCAAAACTATAAATCATACATAATTTCAAAATGAGATTAAATGGGATTTGAATGGCATCAAGTTAGTTCTCTTTGAAGCAATTTAAGAAAATGATCTTGTGATACATTGTTGATATTGTTCAATTTTCACACTTTCAAATGAACAGTCTAATTTGTGGTACTTGTACCAGCTGAAAAACACTGTGCAAATAGAGAAAATATTGTGCATCTTGAAATCAATTCTCTCAACCACAAATACAAACTTCTGATGAGTATTTGTATAGACTATTGATACAAGAAATTAAGCCACCATAGAGATAAATAGAAGTTAATGTTCTGAATAGTACACAGGAACTGCATTAAAACTTTGAGGCAGCATGCACTTTAATATTTATCTCGACTTAAATGAGACATTATACATCTGTTTAGTGAATAGAATCTAAAGAACATAAGGAATAGGGGCATGGCAGAGAGCCCCTTGAGTGCATCCCATTAATTAATAAGATAGTGGCTGATCTGTACCTTTAATTCCACTTAACTGCAGGATCCCCATATCCTCTGATTCTTTCAAGTGACCAGAAGTCTCAGTCTTGAAAATACTCAAAAACTGAACATCTGCTGCCATCTGGGATACAGATAACAAAAAACCTTCACCTTAGTTCAAAATGGCCATCCCCTTATCTTAAGACTATGCACCCAATTACAGACCTCAAATGCCTCTCAGCAAATGCTCCATTCAAGCTCTTTGAGAATCTGGTGTACACCAATGAAATTAATTATCATTCGACTAACCTTCAGAATAAACTCATCCTCTCTTCATTAAACAATTCTCCCATACCAGGAATCAACCTATCAACTTTTGTTGCCCCAGCACTGATTCTTGCAGCACTTCACTATTGACAATGCATCTGTGAAAATACTTGGCATCAAATACAATTCTTGGCATCACACATAGAAAGGATGCAAAGGGTTTAAGAGATGATTTAGAATTTATAAGAATTTTCTAGGGATGAGGGATTTCAACTACATGGATAGATTGGAGATTGGATAGATTGTGGTTTGTCTCCTTAAAGAGATGATTGAGAAGAGATTTGGCAGAGTGTCTAAGATCAATACCCAGCCCCAACAATACCACGCGTTAATACGATCACATTCCTATTTACTCATTCACTTAAATTGTACTGCTTATACTAATGTGCCTGGTCAGTGTTTTCATATACCCTGCAGATTCGTTGTCATCTGTACAGATAGCCAAAAGTTGATAGCCATTGGATAAGGACCTAGGCTTCTTCACAATGGCTACTATCACTCCCTTATTCCCTTATTTGCTTGACTCAGTTACATCTCCTGCTTCTGGCCACAAATCATATCTGTACTACTCCAGGTGATACTGTGTGTAAATCAAACTGAACAGGTAACTCTTCCTTTTCCAAATTCTTGGCAACATCTACACCTCAGACTGAAGCTGAATAACCTTTAACTGATGCTCCCAGGGATGCAGACAATTATTGTGGATGTAATCAGTCAGATCAATTATGGGTTTATGAATGGGCAATCTTAGAGAAGTTATTTTGGGAAATAATGATCAACATAGATAAAGGGGAACTTGGGGATGTGTTATATTCAAGATTTCCAGAAGGCATTTGACAAGTTGCTGCATCGAAAGTTACTCAGCGAAATAAGACACCATGCTATTGAGATAGCATTTTGCATGGACAGAGGATTATTTAAATAACCAGGGGACAGAGTAGACATAAATAGAACATTTTCAGGTTAGTAGGATGTAACAAATAGACTGCCTCAGTGATCAGTGTGCTGAAAACTTACCTTAATTTGAGACAATGAAGGAACCTAATGCATGCATTGCTAAATTTGCTGATGATACAAAAACAAGTATTCTCTTTATAACTTACTTTCTTACCTGAATTCTGCTAAAAAATATAGCTAACTTAAATGAGTGGCAGGAGGAGTATAATGTGGGAAAATGTGATATTTAGCATGTAGAATAGAAAGGCAGCATATTATTTAAATGGAAAGAGTTTGTAGAAGACCAAGATAAAGACATCTGGTGTCCTGGCAAAAGAATCACAATACATTTTACAGCAAGTGACGTTGAAAGTAAATGGAATATCGCTCTTTATTGCAAGAGGAATGGAATAAAAATGTAAATACTGCACTTGTATAGGGCAGTTTTTCCTCAAACAGTGGGATATGTTAAGGCCTCGAGAATTGACTAGCTTACAAATAAAATACAACCAGAGGCTTCTCACTACTGACTAAATAATTTTTAAAAAACAATTTAAGCAATAAAACTTTTCAGCAGAAATCATTGTAATTTTAATGCCCTTAAAAGTTTCCAGTAACAGTTAACACAATACTAAAACACAAACATAAAAACAACACGTTCTTAAAAAGCAGGGTTTTGTCTATAACATGGTGGGGCAAGTTGGTTGGTAGCATGTGAGATAGAAAAGGTTGAGATCCGCTGGCATAGGGTATTGGTGATCTGGAGCCTGGAATATTGTATACAGTTTTGGTCTCCATATTTAAGAAAGGATATAAATGTGTTACAGGCAGTTCAAAGAAGGTTAACTCAAGTAGTACCTGGGATGGGGGCATCATTTTACGACGAAAGCTTGGACAGTTTGAGTCTTTGTCCACTGGCATTTAGAAGGGAACTTTGACAAGGATAGATGCTGAAATGATGATTCTCCTTGTGAGAGAGAATAAAACTAGGGGACAGATTAAAAATAAAAGAGTCTCTCATTTAATACTAAGAAGACAAGAAATTGTCTTTTGCTCAGAGTTAAAAATCTTACTCAGTGTGGCCAAGGTAAGGTTATTGACTATTTTTGTTTTGCAGCAGAGTTTCTTAGTCTTTCAGTCCCTTGTTAGTCAATCAGTGGGTAAATTGAAATGTGGAGTGGAGGCCAAATTCAGATCATTCATGATCTCATTAAATGATGGAACATACAAGGATATAAATGGTCTACTCTTTCTCCTAATTCATATGTTCATATTCACTTGATACAGTGTGGAGCTGGAGGAACACAACAGGTCAGGCAACATCAGAGGAGCAGGAAAGTTGATATTTCAGGTCGAAACCTTTCAACAGGACTGGAGAGGGGGAAGGGAGCTCAGAAATAAACGGGGGGGGGGGGTGCGGGGGTGGGGCTGGGCAAAGGTAGGTGCATTTTGAAAGGTAGCTGCAGGTAGGGGGTTGTGGAACGGATACACGAGAAGAAAGATGGACAGACTGTGTCAGGTCGAGGAGGCAGGGATGAGGGGGGAGGGCTGGACATAGGATGCCCTTAAAAGTTTCTATTAATGGTTAATACAATAGTAAAACGCAAACATAAAAACATGTTCTTAAAAAGTATGGTTTTGTTTATAACATAGTGGGGCATGTATTGTGATTCTTTTGCTAGGACACCAGAAGCTTCAAAAAATCTCCCCCCCACCCCACGGCCTCAAACCATGTCCAGCCCTCCCTCTCATCCCCACCTCCTTGATCTGACACAACCTGTCCATCTTCCTTCTCCTGTATCCGCCCCACTCTTCCCATTGACAAATCTCCACAAACCCCTACCTGCAGCCACTATCACCACCCCACCTATCTTCGCCCAGCCACATTTCCCCCCAACACCCCATTTATTACTGAGCTCCCTTCCCCCTCTCCAGTCCTGATGAAGGATCCTGACCCGAAATGTCGACTTTCCTGCTCCTCTGATGCTGCCATGTTCCTCCAGCTCCACACTGTCTTGACTCTGACTTCCAACATCTGCAGTTCTTGCTATCTCCTGTTAGTATTCAGTTGTCTGCAATTGCAGTGCTCTCCACAAACGCCAACATGCTATAGTTGCTGCACACCACCCACACTGGGCCATCCCTGTATAAATTTGTTTTTATTCTTTAATTATTTTGTCTATGTATTCAATCACCTTAGTTTTAGTATTCCATCTTTAAACTAAGTGCTGATCTTAGTGCAAGTTAGTGATATTAAATATTTACCTGCAGCACGATTCCCAACTTTTGGAGGCCAGAAGCAGCACCTCTTTGTCCGGCTACAATAAATTCCCAACTTTTGTATTCTGTTTGTGATACCTATGTGTTTTAGTATAGTTAACAATATTCAATATACAAATACTTCTTTAGGATAAATTCTGACTTACAGCTTGAGCTTGTTTGATAAAATCTAGAATGTCTTCTTTGAGAGCCTGATGAATTTTTGCTGGACCCTTATCATCCCACAGACAGACAGCATGAACGTCTCTATAAGAAAACAGCAGTATTTACAATGTAAAATTCTAGATGAACACAACAGACACCAACTTCAGCAGAAGTAAACCACAACTTGAAGTCATTTGTTTAACATGTACAAAATATTTTATTTCATTTTTGGAAGTGGAAATGAAATGACTTGTAAACAGGAAAGTAAGTTAACCAAACATTTTTCATACAGAATGAACAACAAAATACAAGTAATCTGAATCTTACTTAAATATAGCTTGACTAGTGAATGGGCTGATTGAATACAAATAAAATCAAATAATCCTGCACTGTTTCCAAATGGAGTAGTATTAAATTGATTTGCTGAACTTGTAAAGATTATAGACAGGTTGAAACATATTGTAAGAGTCAGGGGTTCTGAAGATGTCATATCACAACAAAGGAAGCGTTGAGGGGTCTCAGTATCTGAACTGTGAAATTGCATTAAGACTCATACTAAACTTCACTGTAATTCTATAATGAGTTTTTTTTCTTTTATACTTTTGTTGGAAAGTCTGCCAGAATTCTTTAATGAAGGCAGGGAATATTCTGTCTTAATTCATTTTAAATAGATGATGGGAAAACGCCAATCAAAACACGAGGGATAATTTTCCTCTCATGTTATTTTACAGAGCTGGAGTAGACAGGAGATAACAATCTAGGTTCGGGTTCACCCCACTTTCAGGATTCCAGTCAAAAGTAACAGGAAGCATCCCACATATCTGCCTACATACAGCAAGTGTATTGGTAATATGCCACAGGGCTTTTTAAAAATTATTTGCACCATTGCAATGTCATATGCTAGGAACTCTGCATAGTTCTGGGCCAAATGTTGTTACACCAAAAGATCAGAGGAATTAAATTTCAAAAGTTCCACAGTAAAAACAAACATACAAATGTATGAAATAGGAATAGGTCATTCAGTCCCTTGAGCTTGCTCCACCTTCAACAAGACCGTGGCTGATTGGTCTGTAACCTCAAACCCGCATTCCCACCAATGCGGATAACTTTTCACTCCCTTGCTTAAGGATCTATCTATCTCTGCCTTAAAATTTTCAAGGACTCTGCTTCTACCACCTTTTATGGAAGAGTTCCAAAAATTCATGACCCCCAGAAAAAAAAATCCAATTTTTGTTTTAAACAGGCAATCCCCGAATTTTAAGCAGTGACTTGTAATTCCAGATTTTCTAATAAAAGGAAACCATCTCTGCAATCACTAAGTCAAGATCACTTGTATTTTTCAACCTCTTGCTCTTCTAAACTCCAGGAAATACTAGCCTATCTTTTGCTTTCAATTTCTTTCATAAAATGATAATATCCTATTGGTTTTCCTAATTACTTGCTGTATCTACACAGTAACGTTTTTGAATTCATGCACAAGGACAAGTAGATCATTCTACATCACAGAGCTCTGCAATCTGCCATCATTTAGGTAATTTTAAAAAACACTCTTCCTGCCAAAATGGACAATTCACATTTGTCCACATTATCCTCCATTTGCCACATCTGTGCCCTCTCACTTAACTTAATATTTTTTTGCAGCCTCATGTCCTTTTCACAACTTACTTTCTTACTGATTTTTAGCAATTGCAAATTTAGCAATTGTTCCTTTATCTAAGTAACTTATATAAATTGCTCCCAATATTAATGCTTGTGGCACACTATTTGTTATATCTTGCCAACCTAAAACAATTCACGCATGTTCACTCACTGCTTCCTGCTGGCCAGCCAATCATATGTCTCTGTCAGCATGCTAAACCATGAGATTTTATTTCCTGCAATTAACTTTGATGTGACATTTTACCAGATGTCTTCTGGAAATCTAGGTACAATACGTCCACCAGCTCCCCCTTATCCACAGCATGTGTTACCTCAAGAACTCCAATGGACAGGTCAAACATTATTTCCCTTTCACAAAACCATACTGACTCTGCCTTGTTGCCTTGAACGTATCCAAGTGCCTTGTTATAACTAATGATCGTTTCTAATATTTTCCCTCTGACAAATGTTAAACTAACTCGCCAATTAGTTTCCTGCTTTCTGTAACCACTCAGTCTAGTGGCATTGTCCAGAGCCTGGGGAATTTTGGCAAATGAAAGCTGATACATCCACTAGCTCACTAGCCACTGTTTTTGAAACCTTAGGATCAAGTCCATTAGGACATGGGCACGTATCAATCCACAGCTCCAACAATTTGCTGAGTACCACTTTTTTGGTGATTGTGATTTTCCTGAGTTCCTAACTCCTATTCTTTGACTGATTTACCACTGCTTCTGGGATGTTATTTGTATCCTCTATAATCAAGAGGACGGATGAAAAATACCTGTTCAATTTGTCTGCCACTTCTTTATTTTCCAGTATTAATTCTCCAGTCTCATGTTCCACAGTACCAAAACTACCTTGGTTAATCTTTTCCTTCTTTAAATATTGGTGGAAATGTTTACTGTTTTTATATTTCTAGGTAGTTTTCTCTCATATTCTAGATAATTTCTTCTTTATTAATTGGTGCGTTGGCTCCTTGTTTTTTTTAAAAAATATTCCATCCAATCATCTGACCTGTCTTTGTACAATTGTATGCTTTCTCTTTTAAGTTACTACTATCTTTAATATTCCTAGTTAACCAGATTATCATAGAGTCACAGAGATGTACGGCATGGAAACAGATCCTTTGGTCCAACTCGTCCATGCAGACTAGATATCCTAAATTAATCTAATTCCATTTGCTAGCATTTGGCCCATATCCCTGTAAACCCTTCCTATTCATATACCAATCGAGATGCCATTTAAATGTCATAATTGTGTCAGACTCCACCACTTCCTCTGGCAGCTCATTCTATACACGCACAACTTCTGCGTGAAGAAGTTGCCTTTTAATTTTTCTCCTCTCACCCTAAACCTATTCCCTCTAGTTTTGGACTCCCCTATCCTGGGGAAAAGACTTGAACTATTCACCCTATCCATGCCCCTCATGATTTTATAAACCTCTAGAAGGTCAGCTCTCAGCCTCCAACTCTCCAGGGAAAACAGCCCAGCCTATTCAGCCTCTCTCTGTAAGCTCAAACTCTCCATCCCTAGCAACGTCCTTGAAAGGGTTCAGAGAAGATTTACAAATTTAACAACAGCTTTCCTATAGCAAAGAGACCAGAATTGAATGCAGTATTCCAAAAGTGGCCTAACCAACGTCCTTTGGGTCCATACCTTGGATATTTTTCTTGCTCGTTGGAATGTATCTATTCCGTGTATGCTGAAATGCCTCCCTTAAATGTCTATTACTGCATCTCTACTGACCTATCCTTTAACCTAATTTGCCAACTGACTTTAGCCAATTCTGCTTTCATGCTGTCACAATTGCTATTATATCAACGTACTTTAAAATTGTCAGATTCACTACTCTTTCCCTCAAACTGAATATAAAGTTCAGTTACATTATGGTCACTGCTGTCCAGGGGCACCTTCATTATGAGTTCATTAATCCTACCTCATTAGATAATACCATATCAAACATAGCCTCCTCTCTGCTCAGCTCTAGAGAGAGCATGCTGTCTAAGAAACATTGCATAAAATTCCTCATTTAGGTTAGCTTTGCCATCCAACATTTCGAGTCCAGTAGATTAACATCTCCCATGATTATGTGCCTGTCTTTCTGACAAGCTCTTATTATTTGTTTCTTTTTACTCTACCATACCTTGCGGTATTATTTGTGGGCCTGTACACCACTCCCGCAACTGACTTCTTGTTTTTATTGTTTGTCATTTCTACCAAGTCTGGAGATCTACCCAATCTATCTTGGTTCATGGAATTTAGGAAATTATTTTTCCTGACCCCACAAAATTTAAATTCGTAGTCTAAACTGCAGACTTTTTTTTCATTTATCACAGAGGCAATGAGCCTCATCACAACAGTTGATGTCCAGGGCCTGTTGCAGCATTTGCATTCAAGTCTCATTTGCAATCTCCTCACCAACCTTCAAGATAATCTGTTTGCTGAAAATATTGGCTGGGATCATGGATGAACCATCATGGCAGGCAGTAGTGCACCCTATTGAACAAAAAAAGTGTGTCCTAACATTTTTATAATCTGTTAGATTTTAAGTAATTCAGATACTTACGAAAATAAGTCGAACCATTGCTGCTTTGTCACAGATTCCTGTCGTAACAGTTTTAGAACAATGGGGCGCATAAGGTCCCATTTGTCCTCAAACTGGAGGGAACCTTTATTCTGAAAGAAATTAACAATGATGGGAGGGAATAGCATTAATTAAGACATTAATATCAGTGCACCAACTTATTCATTAAAATATCCAATTAATGAATGCCTGTCATAAATAGTAAAAATGCAGAATACAGATCTACATTACAATCCAGATTATGATTTTTGAAATAAAACAAAAAAAAAACAGATGCAGATAATCTGAAACAAAAACAAAAATGGCTGGAGAGACTCAGGAGGTCTGGCAGCATCCGCTTTCCGTCCACAGATGCTGCCAGACCTGTTGACTTTCTCCAGGGATATCTGTTTTTTGTTTCAGATTGTAATTTTTATTTATCCAAACCAGGCCCAAACATAGTAGTAATTTACAGGCCATGGGCCTGGTCCATACACTAGTGACCAACTCCATTTACCTAATATGGGTACTTCTCAGACTCAATGAGACCATTTGCAATCTTAGTAACCTGTTAAAGTCCGAGCTCCATTTGCCTTCAGCCAACCAGGTCTCAGGTTCCAGAATTCCTTACTTGAACCCCTTCACCTCTCCAACTTGCATTTCAAAACTTTCCTAAAAACCAAGGTCTTTGTTCTGACTATTGTTTCTCTCTCTCCTAATTTTTCTTTCTTTGTCTGGCATCAGTTTCCCTTGCACCTATCTGAAGCACTTTGCAGCAACTTTCTGCTTTAAATTGTACTTCATAGATGGTAGCTGGTTAGCTAGCAATGGAGTTGCCAAGTTGTCAATTTGATCTAGTGGGAACAGTCTTCTTTTGATTTGATCTATTGTTGTCACATGTATTTACGTACAGTGAAAAGCTTTGCTTTGCGAGCAGGACTGACAGATCATAATATGCTTAGACACAGCAAGGCATACTGGTTACAACTACACAGGAGGTGCACAAAGCAAGATTAACGTTATTTGAGGTTAGAGGGGTCCATTCATCAATCTAATAATGGCCGGGAAGAAGCTGCTCTTGAACCTGTTAATGAATTTGTTCAAGCTTCTGTATCTTCTGCCTGATGGAAGAGGTTGGAAACGAGCATTACCGGGATAGGAGGGATCTTTGATGACGGTGGCAGCCTTTCCGCAGCAATGAGAATTGTAAATGAAATCTGCGGATGGGAGGTTGGCTTCCGTGATGGTCTGGGCTGTGCACACAACCTTCTGTAATTTCTTACGGTCCTGGGCAGAGCAGTTGCCATACCAGGCAGTTATGCACCTGGATAGTATGCTTTCTATGGTGCATCCGTAGAAGTTGGAGAGGGTCCTTATGGACATGCCGAATTTCCTAAGCCGCCTAAGGAAGAAGAGGTGGTGGTGTGCTTTTTTGACTGTTGCATCTACATGGGAAGTCCAGGACAGATTGTCAGTTATTGTCACTCCTAGGAACCTGACTCTCTTGACCCTCTCCACCTCAGCTTTGTTAATTTAGATGGGGGCCTGTGCTCCTCCTTTCTTCCTGAAGTCAATGATCAGTTCTTTTGTTTTGCCAAAATTGAGAGACAGAGGTCATTTTCACTGAACCACAACACCAAGCCCTCTATCCATCTCTTTCCTGTATTCTGAATCATCGTTTGATATGTGTCCTACAACAGTGATATCGTCAGCAAACTTGTAGATGGCGTTCATTCTGAATTTGGCTACACAGTCGTGGGTGTACAGGGAGTACAGTAGGGGGCTCCAGTGTTGAGGGTTATCGTGAAAGAGGTGCTGCTGTCTAATCTTCACTGATTGCGGTCTGTGGGTTAGGAAGCTGCTGACCCAGTTGCAGAGGGCAGAGCTGGGACCTAAGTCTCAAAATTCTGACATTAGTCTGGAGGGGCTTATGGTGTTGAAAGTGGAGCTGTAGTCAATGAGAAGGAGTTTGACATAGGTGTCCTTGTTATCCAGATGTTCCAGGGGTGAGTGTAGGACCCTCTAACATCAGTTGATTGCACTTTCTAGTGAGGAGTCCTGTGGCAATGGTACAGCCCCGACCTCTGGGCCTAAAGGTCTGGATTTATGCCCTACCTTGCCCAGATACGTGTTACAATTTGTCCCAGTAGGTTGATTAAAAATACCTATAAATTATCGTGAACTAATCAGAGTTTAAGCTCTTTTTAAAATTGCAGTCTCCACCATGCAAAGCTGTTGGTTGATAATTTGGACAATCTGATAACACAACAAACTACCGTGCTTCTAGTCTTACTCTGTTCCTTACCCGCTCCCCCGCACCCCCACCTCCCACACCAAACTTTGAATTTATATCTCAGCTGTAAAATGTGCTAAAAATACTTCATATTCCACGCCTCTATGTTACATGGTGTTGTAAAATTTACTTCTTGGTCAATGCTTAAAAAGTAGAATTTCAACAGAAATCATTATTGCTAATGTTTTCCACAAATCAATTTTATTGATGATTACAAGGTTAACAGTGCATTTTAAAATCCAGAAGAAGAAAAAGAAATAAAAAGAAATCAAAATTTGTCAGCTTACATCTCTTCCATCCGCACAGTCGCCAAATATTTATTATTTGGATGATAAACAAGAAAATATTGTAGCAATCGGGAACTACAGATGGGATTAAGGGAGAACTGATGACACACAGAAGTAGTCAAACCGAAACACTAATTTCCTCCCAAGGATACAAAATTCAATTCTTGTAAACTTAATTTTTTCAGGGCCAGGGAAATTGTTCAGTAGTAAATAGTGAATTTCTAACTGCATGCTAAGTCCAGAAAATACCATTCTCAACTTTCGCAATTGTTTATTACAAAGCTAATAAGCAGATATGGCAAGCTTGAACCTTTGCAATAATTTTAATGCCTTTGAATTATAAATTCATCAGTAGGGATTTTAGCAAGTAAAAGGAAGTTAACTCTGAATGCAACGTTCAGATTTCCATGTACAACCACGCATATGCAGACCCCATGAGTTGGTGATGAATATCCTCCACTTAAAATGAGCGCCAATAATCCCATTATTTTCAATCACTAATTCTGGATCGTTTCAGCATTACATCTAACAGTAAGGTGGCGCACAAGTCAAATTGCTGCGTGTGCAATGTAAGACATCAACGAATATCAGCAATTGGGACTGATTGAAAGTTTCAATACATGTCTACCATTTACACTTTTACTATATTTGTGGTATTACAATTAATTAAAATTATTTCTGTTACTGAACATCTAAAGTTTTGATGTTTAAATTGTGTTTATTTGATGCATAAACTAAGCTGGTCTGAAGCCTATATAGGTTAGCTTTATAACTGATCACTGATTAACTGTGACGAGATATTCCTGTCAGAACAGTGTGAAACAAAATTTTCAATTTTTCAAAATGAATGCCTGCATTAAGTTGCCAAAGGGAGGATTACTAGATTATAACTAACATTATATTATATATTATATATAAAGTTTTGCAAAGCACTGAGAAGCCAATAAATATGGAGTACAATATACAAGTTACCATGAATCTTTAGCGTATCAAGGGGAAGCGTATTTGCATTAAATGTTGGAAATTGAGTACTTGGAGCAGATGATCTTTGCACTTGAGCAACAGTTTTCCCTGTATTGCAGTAGACAGGATGAGGAGTGTCTTGATATTTTCCAGAAAAAGGTCACTCAAGCATGAAACAATTTAAGATATATGAACAGTGTAGAAGTGTGGAGTAGGAGAAAGAAACAAGACTTAAGTGCTGTGTACCTCTAAATTACTGGGATTAGAAAGACTAAAAATAGATATAGATAAACATAGGTAATCTTAAAACTAAACAAAAAAATTTATAATCAAATGAAGAGTAAAAAGAACATTTGGAAACGATCACTGTTGGGAAAGGTCAAATGGGTTAAGATAAAGCTCAATCAAATACCATATTATATAGAAAATGATGAAAATGAAAACAAAAACAGTTTATTGGGAAGAACTGAAGTAGCTAACTTGAGAAAAGAATTTATAAAAAGATAGGTAAGTCAATGATGCTTCTCTCCTGCACTCTAGTTTACTGAAAGTCTAGGCAGAAACAGAGAATCGAGAGATGGGAAAGGTAACAAGAACTTTACAAAAATTTATCCTTCAGTAGAGTGTAGGAGACAATTTGTGTCTCAGAAGCATTAAGGGTGTAGTACAGGAATACGGCACTATGGTTCCTGAATTAGTGAGATAAAAGGCTTACATTTATAATCCAGAAAACGAGTTCAATTTTAAAAAGGTTAAAAATGTAAAAACAGGTGAAAATAATCAAGAAGCTATCAAATCACCATCTCGGTGGCCCTGAGGTCACTTGAAATAAAAAAGACACAAGACGTAGGAGGAGAAGGTGGCTGTTCAGCACATTAAGTCACTTTCCTACCTTTTGCCCATAACTCTTGATTACCTTACTGATTAAAATTCTGTCAGTTTGTATTCTCTGCCACAGAGAGTGGCTGAGGCCAAAGCATTGAAATTTTTAAAAAAAAAAGTTAGATCTATTTCTCATGGCCAAAGGGATCAAAGAATATGGGCAGAAAGTGGGATAAAGGTACTGAGTTGGATGACTAGCCATGATCATATTAAATGGTGGAGCAGACTCAAAAAGGACTGAATGGCGTACTCCTATTCTATGCATGTTGCTATGTTGGAAACCATTTTCTTAGGACAGTTTGACGTGGGCAATAAATGTTGGCTTTACCAATGATATTCACCACCTTAAAAGTGAATTTTAAGTATGTAAATGCCCAGCAAGGACTCAATGACAGGCAGAAAGATACAAAGATATCAGATAATCTCTCACATTTGGAACAAGTTACTTAGAGTCACTGAGAAAAATATAAAATGGGTACAGTAAGAAAATAAAGTGAAACTAATAACTGGAAAAGTTTTGGCTGATTAGGCTGTCTCTTATAATGTTTATTTTATGCTAGCCTATTTGATTTCTACTTTTTAACATTCAAGTGAAAAAGGAAATACAAATTGGATGTATTCAATTAAACGGAATTAAATACTACATTTTAGCAGTTGGTTGGTATTGTTTCATAAAATACTTGGAAAT